AAGTTAGTTTGTTCCTGTTCCGTAGTTAAAGTTGTACCGAGTGGAATAAAAGTTGGAAGCAGAAGAAAGAGTTTAATACTCGGCCATCCACGGTACAATACGTTCTGCTTGTGTTGAGATAAATACATAGTTATTTTATTTCAATGCCCTTTTCCCTATTAATAATCTAATACAGCTATTGAATACTCTTTGCATTTTCCGGGTTTTTGACTTTCTGTAATGTTGAAGGGACACTGATTGGTTTGCTAAATCAGGAAAAATATTGACACGAGGAAACACTTGAGAAGTTTAAAATGGCATTGTAAAGTATGCTAAATGCATTTTCGGAATTAACCAAGTTTAAAAATGATAAATAAATAATCGACAAATTTGAATCAAAAAGTTTCCAAAGTTAGACTGAAGCAAAATTTCCCAAAATTTTCTGGACTTTTGGAATTTAAATTTAACGCTTGAAATGGAAAGTAGTTATTGAAAGACCGCAAAAGACGTTTTTTAAAATTCATCAATTTGGAATCACTAGAGTAAAAAAATCTTCGATTTACAAAGTGCAAAATGGTGGTGATAGATTTTCTAAAGAAGAAAAAATATTGACGCAAGAGACCACTTGAGAAATTTAAAATTGTATTGAAAAGTATACTAAATGCATTTCGCAGGTTGAAAATTTCCTTTTCATAAGGGCCTGCACAACATTTTTTGTCTTCTCTCTGTAGCTCAGAGAAAAAAATTTGTAAACCAACCAGTCATGTAACTTTTCCATATGTGAAGATAAAAAAAAAAATTAAACATGTTTTCTCCAAAAATGTTGGTTGGCAACCCTTTCTAAAATTTACATTTTATTTTTTTTCTTGAAAACGAAGCTTGCTATCGAATATATACGGTATTTTTTCAGCGTTCCATCTTTCAGAGTTCGAGAAAATCGCGAAAATATGGTTTCCAAAAAACTGCAAATATCTTGGTAACCAAAAGTGCTGAACTCAATCTCAATCAGTCCAGACAATCGGCCGTCTCAAGCTCCATAAAAAAATTGGTATTAACATTTTTGTTATGATCGATAATAAGCGAGCATTTGACCATTTTCTAAAATCATGCAAAATTTTGGGGAAAAATTTCTGAAATTTGTCCAATTTTATGAATTTCGGTCAAATTTTGGCATGGAGTTGTTTCATATTTGCCTCAATTCTAATTGGTGTCAATTTCAACCATTCTAATGTCATTTGACAATTTTAATCAATTTTGAAAATTTTTCTTCCATACGTGCCTGCGTAAACTTTTTCGTCTTTCCTCTGTAGCGCACAGAGGAATTTTTCTTTGAACCAACCAAAGTTGATTTGTCATGTAACTTTTCCATATCTAGCCATC